TCTGAAGTACCGCAAGCTTAGAATGCTGAGCATCTTCGTCCCTATTACCATTAATTCTGAACTCGCTCTTAATTTTCCATTTCTTTTACTTGTAAAGTTTTCCTTGTAACCTTTATGAATAAGATCGTTCTCCTTTATCTTGAACATATATTTGTCTTGTATGATCTTGTTCGTTACGATATTTTACAAGTTTCTTATTCAGATATGTAACACTAGTCTTGTGAAGTGCTTGAATTATAGAAGTGCTATCACAAATGGCTAAAAATACTTGTTTTATATATATGTGATTCAAGTAAGTACATTGGGCAGCCAAAAAAGAGATAAGTAATAAAAAGAAAGAGGAGTAAAAGGAAAAGCTGTACAAAAGCATAAAGAGCGATCATTGGTCCCCCCCTTTAGGCTCTGCCAATGCGACCTCTGTATCCCCCAGATAGTTGCTGACCATCTAGCCAGCTGTTGGGTCCTCGGGGGCGTATGCCTTCGACTGGTCATCCTCTGGAGGGGGTTCTTGTCCCTCTTCCTCCTTGGCATCATCAACCTAGGCCATGGAAGCAAGGATGTCCTGATATTCAATCGGGAGGTCGGAGAGGTCTATCCCTGGATTCCTTGGTCGCAAGCTGTAGATGGCCTGTATTGCCCTGTCAGTGGCCTTTCTCTTGAGTTCAAGGTTTTGTTGTTTCATCTGATCAGTTAATGAAGCGACCATCCCTTGGGATAGCTTAAGGTCCATTTCCAGAGCTTTTTTCTGCTTCTCAAAATTTTCCCACAGTCGAGCTTTCTCTTCCTCTGCTTTCATGGCTCACTAAGAGTTTACCTTCAACTCCTGCTCTCTCTCGCCACACTCTTTGGTGAGTATGGCCACTGTCCTTTAGAGCTCTTTGTTCTCCTTATCTTTCTTCTCGAGCTCAGCCTTCTGGAAGTCCACTGTGTGAAGGGCATAATTTCTTTCTACTAGATACTGGTTTGCCTGAATATGGATCGCCTTTGCCTTTGCATCCAAAGTCGCGAGGTCTTGTTTCAGCTTTGTATTCTCTTTCCTCAGCTCGTGGAACCCTCCAGCGGAGTCCAGATCGATCTTCTGTTCGGCCATATGCAAGGTGAACAGAGATTGCATAAGAAAAGAAACAAGAGTTAACTTCTGTTTTTTCGAGAATCATAAAAGTTAGAAAATCCTTGGTAAGAGCAAGCTGTTTTACCTGGCTTTGCAGCCAGAGCGCAGTTGCCACCAGGTCCGCAGGTCAGGAAGCCATGAACTCCTCAAAGGTCATAGCCAATTGGCAGTCCAATATGGTATACACCATCGGTTGTAGATGCTCCGCGAGTTATCCCATGGAATCCATCATGGGTGTGTCTAACCCTAGACAAATTAGCATCTCATCGACTCGCTGTTTGCTTGCTCTCCTTTGGGTAACCGTGACCTCCCTGGCTCTCTGCATGAGCTCTTGGGGGCCACAGGGGTGCCTGGTGAAAAGCCTGGTATAGTTATATCCCCGAGCAAAAATCCTGGTACGGTTGCGATCCCTTAGGCTGCACTTCTAGGCCCTCTTGCTCAGACTTCGATTCCTCAGCCTACAACTGCTTTCTTTTCTTAGTTTTCTGGCCCATGGTTTTTTGCTTAGCGACGCGAGCAGCTGCGGGCTGAGAATCTTCCCCTTGTCGCTCTGTGGGAGTTTGCATGCCAATATGTACCCTTTCTATAGGGATATTGCTAGGGATCACCTTGGTTGGCTCGGTTGGGGTGACCCGGGGAAATACGAACCCCCTGGTCCTCGTTGTCAACCTTGAAACCCTGGGCGGCATGGTCGCTACGCGCCATGAAAGCATATTAGCAAAAAGGTCACCGCAGACAAAAGAAAGAGGTTCTAAGAGTGAGGACACTTATGGACTAAAGGTTCTAGAGATGCTTCAAGATTGAAAAAACCATACTTTCTTAAGTTGGTAGTAGTCACAAGCAGTTTCGTGTTGTGACTTTGTTCGGTTAGATTATCAAATGCCACAATTTGGTTGAAATCTATCAGAGTCGTCAATTTGGTCATCTAATTTCTTACAATGAGACAAAAAATTTTGTTAGAAACAAGAGCTAAAGAAAAAGGAACAGTTTACAAATTAAAGGAAAGTAAAACCTACTTGGGTCCCTAAACTGGCAGACGCCATCATACTCAAAAAAGAAAAATTTGGTTTCATAAGCCTCAATGTTATTGAGGTAACCAAATATTCCTCCCTCAATCATAAATCATTTCGAGAGGTAAACATAGTCTTTACTCTTGCTCTTCTTCAGATAGTAAGTGCATGCAAGCTCCGGTGCTGTTAGCTCGCTAAGGCCATTTTTGTCACATGTGAGATACACAGCAACAACTATCATATACGCATTAGGCGTCAATTGCAATGGCGCGACCTCTAAGTGGTCGAGGATCGATCTAATGAAGGGGTGAAAGGTATCAACGCCCTGCATTTAAAGATCGCGGCCATTCCCTCTAGGGATTCTAAGCTGTAGATGTCCTATGTTGGTAGACATCCACGCTAAGCGTGTACTGGTCCACTGCTTTCTATATCTCATCCCGGGTGGCCACTAACAAGGTTTCTTGCATGGGACTTACTAGGGTGCTTGGCGCCTATGAGCTCGTTCCCTCGGTTGCCCTAGTTGCAGAGGTATCCATTGCTCCTAAAGTCTGAAAAAGGAGTGACATGCAGAGATAACTCAGTCTCCGTATAGTGTTCCGTACAATGACGTGGAAGAGCAAAAGAAACCCTAATGTGCCTTTCTTAACCCCTAGAAAACCCTAAAAACCCTTGGGAATGAATCCTGAAAGATTTGTGCCCTAAGTTCTCACTCTTTATGAAGAAAAAAGCCCTTCTCTCACCATTGCTTGGAAATATGCACCATAAAAGATTGCCAGATAGTTCATACCCACAATTACCGCAAAAGTCAGGCAATTAGCAAAATAATAAAAGAAAACAAAGAAGAAATCCTCTTTACCTCTTGGTTGCTGGGAATGAACTTCCTGTCATAACGGAAAATGCGCATCAACTAGAAGAAAGGTGGACTAATTTCGTGAGAGTTCTGTGACAAAACTTGAAGCGAGCCCGGGGTTTTATAGTGGAAAAACGATGATTGGTTTCCCTAGGCAAGCAACGCTTAGGCGGGATATGTTTCTCGCCATTGATTGCGACCACGTGTTTTTAATCTGCGAGAAAAAGTAACCTCCACGCTTCATGAATACCAATTGACACTTCCCTCTATTGGAGCAACCAAGCGTCAGCACGGTTATCTCCACTACATTAAATGCGCCCTCATCCGCATTTAATGCTTTGAAAGAGAATGTTGTTTCAGCATGGCTTGCATTTCATGTGCATGGCTAGCACTTATTGTGCAATAGACACGTCTGTCGAAATAAAGATTATTTTATTGACCATACTAGTTGTCAAGCACAACAGATAACATCTAAAGAGGTCGTTCGAGTAGAACACTATTTGCTATGTATCGGTTTCAACACGATATGATTCCTTGCTTTTGGTAAAAATGTGCTAAGTATTCTCAGGTCGCGAACTACGAATGAGACTCAAAGCATATCAGTATGACACTGAGTAGGGTCTGACCCAAGTCGTTAAACTTGTGGGAGAAGGCGTGCTATTCTTAGGGACTTATGCTACGACCTCCTTGCGGCTTGATCGACTCGACCAAACATCATTCGGGAAAAGTCAAGTCGCGCCATAATCATGAAGTGCTCGAGGTTCAATCCTTAAACCTTAAAAACTGGGGGGCTTTTGTTATGCCTAAAAAGTTAGGGCTGACGTGGACTCTCGTCAACAAGAGTCAATCAGAATTTAGGGAGGCTTTATGCCGTCTAGATGTTGCCATGTTGCGCAATGACAGAAGAGCTATGGTTCTCGTCAGTGCAGCAGGTGAATGCTAGTCTTGCGAGTGGTTAAGAATTGTCCAGCTGCCCAAGCCCTACGCAATTTAAGGATATTTCTCATGCAGACAACTAATGGGAAGCGGGTTAGGAATTGTACCCCACCTGTCGGACTGCAAGCTCATGATTATTACCTTGAATCCTCCCACTATAAATAGAGAGCTCCTCTCTCATTTACGGGATTGGCTTATCTTTAGTCTTAAACAGCACACACACACACACACACACACACACACACACACACACACACACACACACTCTCTCTCTCTCTCTCTCTCTCTCTCTCTCTCTCTCTCTCTATATTCTCTCAAGATTGTAACTCAGCTCGCTACATGCGACCTGACTATAACCATTTATTCATACAACTACAGTGGACATATGAATCCCTTTTGAGCATCTGAACCACTTTAAAAACCGTCTTTTATTTACTCTCTTGCTACATATTTTCATATCATGTGTAACTTCTAAGCTTGCTAAGCACTTTGCACGTATGAGTCGTTGGTGTCAAAATCAAGCATCAATAAGGTTTAAGCATGAAACCATTTTTCAGAGGAAAAAGTTTTGTACAAGTCAAGCATATTGCAATTTCGTTAGAGGCTGAGAGTGGTGGAGTGTAGGTATCAATTGTATGCTTCAAGGTGTCTAACACTTGATGGAAGCTTTGGTAACAATTTAAGCCTCACACAATAGCTTATGTCCAGATATTTCAATTTATGAAGATATAGGATGCTTGATGGTATCCATTCAAAAAAATTTCCATTTAGATCCGACCACGTTAGAGAAGATAATTGGTCAAGACTATCAGGTAACCTCATGATTTGACAATCAAATAAATCTAAATGTTTTAGATATCTCAAAACTAATAAAAATGGCCATTCTGAATCCATCAGATCTTGACACCTCCTTTTGCTTAAGCATGACGTTTGAAGTTTGTTCAAAGATAAGATGGAATGTGGTAGTTCTCTTATGGTAGTATAATTAGCTTTGAGTACAAACAATTCTTCTAATTGTCCTAAGTTGTTGGAGAATCTATGGAGGTTTGAGCAACCTGTGAGATTAAGGTACTTAAGAGTCTTCAACCCACAAATGTTGCTTGGGAGACTTTCAACCCACATTGTTCTTGGAATGGAGAGAACTCAGTTGCTTCAGCAAATTGCCACCATGAGACAAGCTCTATTCGATAAGGTTTTTGATGAACCCTAATCTCTTCTTAATTACATATAATGATGTGTAATTACCCATAATTTATTTATTTATTTTTGTAGGGAATTCTAGATAAGCATTTTACTTATCTTGAAAACCTAGATGAAAATGGTAACCCTAATTTTGTTGAAGATACCACTGGATTATTTTTCAGGGACTCTGCCAACATGCTGGCTACCCTTCAGCGGACTTTGTAAGTTTAGAACAGTATTTAATTATTTGATTAGTTATATAATTAACAGTTTAATTTCATTTTCTGTTTTTGTGTTGGGAGAATTCTCCAGTTGATTTCATGAAGTTGGATAAGTGCTTTTATAAGCTAAAAGGAAGCAAAGGAAGCAGTGGTAGGTAAGTTGAATTAAGAGATAAAAAAAAGGTTTAAATTATTAATTAAACTAATTAAGATAATTTAATTGCGATTAAGTTATTATTTTTATTTATATTTATATATGCAGCGTTGGTGCCATCAGAGTGAAGAATGAAGTAAATCGAACGAGAGAATATTGCGAACAAGGGAATTTGGAAGCGTAAGTAATTTGTTCGTAATTAATGATTACAATTAATTATAATCATTAATTAAGAAGTAATTATTTGTATGTATATGGGTGATTATGGCATGATTAATTTCATAATTAAAATTATTAACAGTGCCAAGGCAGCTTTCCAACAACTGAGAAATGAGCATAACATTCTTGGGCTAGGCTTGATTCTTACTTACAGGTACTGAGACAAGCTGATTCTTCTTCTGATGAAAGTTAGGCTCAACCAAACTGAAGAAATCAATGAAGAAAATGGATACAGAAGCAGCAGTGTTTTTGATGGATATTTAGTTGCATAATTAATCACTAAATTTTGTTTTCATTTGTGGTTTGGTTAATTAAGTTCCAAAGTGTTTAAACTTGAATTTCTATTTGGAATAAAGTGTGGTTTGATATCTCTAGCTCCATATATACCCACAACTAATAGAAATACAATACAATATATACCAATAAATTAAATGTCGAAAAGAGAACAGTACTTGGTGTGTGTGTATATATATTATATATATGAGTAATACTACGCTGACAAATATTTTTCATTAACTTAATTTCTTTCAAAATAAGTTTCATCTGCCAACAATGGATCCTACCTAACAAAATACGAACGAACTGATTACGAACTATCACATCGAATTTATGAAAGAAAGTGATCAAATCCGTCATCAAAGGCTTTGAGGTTAGAGGCTGAGATGGCAAGAATAGTCCCTTTTGTTTTTGCATTTGGTTGTTGGTTAAGAAGAGAGATAGTTGATTTCTTTTATGAATTTTTTTATAAACTTTTTTTACTCAAATTCAGAAGAGCCGTTAGATTAAATTTAGATAAAGGGTGGATAATTTTTTCTCATTTTAAGTCAATAGTTTTTGTTATAATAATCTGATCCATAACTATATATAAAAATATAAACGAAGAAACACAACTCTATTAGATGAAAATTCTCACGTATATACATGAAAATCTGGATTTCTGAAATTTATTTAATGTTTTTTTATGAACTAACCTGGTGCAATTAAAGCCCCAACCAAAAAATTTAAAAAATAAAATAAAATTTTGAGGAAATAATAGGAAAATTTTGATATTCATGGATCCTTTATACAGTCTCTTGTACCTCCGATCATCGTCCCTGCCCAGTTCTTCCCATCTGCAAATCCAATCGTAACATTTTCACATGAGAAACTCGTTCTCAACCTTTTTATTGTTTTTGTTTCATCTTCAATAATTTGCAGAACTAGAGCATTCACTTTTATATTAAAGTTGATTGCACCAAGCGACCAATCCGAAACCATAGAGTCTCCAATGGAGGTGTTTAAATAGCCTGAAGAGACACCGATATTTGCCTCCACAAGGTGATCAACGTTCGCAAAGATAGGTCTTATCGTTTCGGAGGAAAGAATCGTGTCCTTGTAGAAAACCGAAGCCTGAACATCATGAAGGTAAATAGAAACGGTATCTTCAAAGAAAGAGTTTTTCACAGAGAAAAAGAAAGAAGTATTCCAGTAGGCAGTTATATGAGAAGAGGAGACGTTGAAGGGATAGAGAATCACTGAATCAACATGGCAATTTGGTAAAGCGGGAGGATGTTTTCCAAATTCGGCATAAATCATAAAAATAGAGTAGCTAAGAGGAAATGCGCCAAGAAGGATCATAAGACATACATTGACGGGTTTTAGGTAGTCGACGGCCGCGGCGGCGGTTGGGTTAGAGATTGGTAAGGGGGGTGTATGGATTTCATCATGGACGGAGGAGGCAATGACTGTGTTTGCTTGTTGTTGATGAGCTCCCATTGGTTATAAGGGTTTGATGAGAAATTGTTGAAGAATTGGGGATAGAGAATTATATATCTAGAATGAATAGAAGAGCAAAAACAAATGATTTAATCAGGAATTAATTAATGGATACTTCTTTTATATAGGAGTCAAACCCTAATTATACTCAAACTGGGATTCCTTCCTAATTCTATTCAAACTAAGAATCCTACCAGTAGTCATATCAAAACTATAACAACTCCTATTTTAACTAGACTTGTACCCACCCGGGCCGCCAGTTTTGCCAGGAGACCGTTGGCTCTTAAAATTTTCGGTGGCCTACTTCCACGGTTCCACCCCTCCCAAAAACCTCCTACCCGCCACCCTGCACATCGCAGCCTCCCATCCTTCACGCAGAATCCCACCCCATAGCCACCACAAAACATCGCTGTTCACCAAAGAACTAAACCCCACCCATCGCAAACCACTATAAACAGCCGCCACCCACAAGCAAATCCCCACTACCACTCTAATGATAAAACAAAATATATATATATATATATATATATATATATTGCAGTCGATGCCGCTCACAGCTTTAGCAAAAGTTCAGGAAAATCTTGACCCAGCAGAGCTGTCCTCTGACTTGGAAACCATAAGCAATGAGGAGAGGTTTTTCGTAAAATGGGTCTGAGCATGAAACCATTTGTCAGAGGGAAAAAGTTTTGCAATCAAGTCAAAGCAGATTGCAATTTCGTTAGAGGCTGAGAGTGGTGGAGTGTTGGTATCAAGCAAATTCCATTTTTTTTTTTTTTTAATTTGTTGGAAAGAAAATCTTAAGAGTGTTGATTCCTTGTTCCTCTCTTTATGCAGAGAAGTCCTCTCTGGTGATCATTAATGTTGATGCTTGATTTTGGTACCAACTAATCGTCACGTGCGTAACATTGATTGGCCAAGAAACACACGTGATAATGAATATAGCATGCGAAATAAATGCAAAGAGGGTTTTTAAAGTGGTTCGGATGCTACTGTAGCAAGTCTTACGTCCACTGATTTGTATTGATATTGATAATGTGGGTCAGGTCGCAACAGCGGACTGACTTACAAATGATTTAGAAAAAGTAAGTGTACAGCTTGCAAGAGAGAGAGATTCTGTGTAAAAATGGCCGAATCCCTTTAATGAAGGGGTCTTCTTCATTTTATATCAAGCTGAAGCGTGTAATCATCATTAAATCCATGGGTTGGTGCGATTGTCAAGATATAATCCGGCTTTACGTCCCATTGCCCTCTTCCCAAGCTGATTTTGCATGATTTATTGCAGGGAAATAGACGCGTGGGCGCTCCATATCGTTTGGCAGGCCTGACGTGTGCTTGTTGCTCTGACGGGAGCAGGCCACTCTTCATCACGTGACTTCCCACGTCAGTCCTTAATTTCCTAGGCATAACAGAAGTCCCCTAGTTTTTAAGGTTTGAGGATCGAACCTTGGAAACTAAGTCATGCCGCGATTGGAGGTTCTGGTCGCTTCGACCTGAATGGGAGAAGCTCAGGACAGGGCCCTTGGCGAACACGACCTTGCACAATTCTTTGCCTAAACGACCTGACAATTCCATCCTAGCGACCTGGATTCGTCAGACATTCATTTCTGTACCTTAGGGTTGGAGATTCAATGAATCTGGTTCTGTGCTGTCAGGCGCTCTGCACGTGCTAAAGCATTTGTCAGGCACATTAAATACGTTGTGTGCTGACCCGGCGTCGTTTTGACAACTTTGATTGTACGACGCATTTGAAACGACGACTCTTATCATGGCATTTAATGCGACGTGGGGCGCATTTAATGTGGGGAGAGAGAGAAGGCTATCGTTTCGATTCCGTGGGGTAGTAACCATCGATTCGCAGTCCATATAAAAGCTCACATTTTTCAGATGACGCCACCGAAATTTCTTTTGCCTCGAGTGACAAGCCTTTGCAAACCGAGAGTTCTTGTTTTCCGATTGGCGTCTCTCAGATATCCGAAACAAGATTCGGCCTTGATTGCACGTCCTAGAAGGTAAGATCTTTTTTCTTCCTCCTTTTGTTTGGTTGGGCAATGGCGTTGGGTCTCCCGGTGTTTCACCAGAGACGCGACGCCGTCGTTGGATTCGAGCCGTGGATGGCGGCTGGAGTTACTGTTAGGGTTTAAGGGATTTGTCCCATGCCGCCGCGCGGGACATGCGATGGCTAAAATGACTTGTCTGTCGATGTTGCAGACTGGAATGGAACCATCGACATCCAGACCCGAGGAAGGGGCCAGCTCGTCCTCGTGGAATGTTCCCGAGGACGCGTCCCTTGATGTCTTCTCGGTTCTCACCCAAGAAGAGCTGAATAGGATAAAAAGGCAGTACGATGTTCGTGCAGAGGTGTTCCTTGACAACACCCGGTCGTCACAGCATCCTTCAGATGGCCTTGCTGCAATCTCCGAAGAGATCTTCAAGGGTGGAGGGATGATTCCCTTCCATCCTTTCATCAGGTCGGTCCTGGATCATTTCGGGATCGCACCAATGCAGCTGACGCCAAACGCGTACGTCATTGCCGTCGCGATGTTCATCGCGTGCTGCGAGAATGGCTTGGGCGAGCCAACGGTGGTGGAACTCGGTGTCGCCTACTACCTTAAGAAGAGTAGGGACAAGGATTCGTATTACTTGTCCCGGCGACCTACCATTGCCGGGGGGATACATAGTTATACCAGCAACGCGGGGGCCTACGAGACAAAATTCTTTTTTTCTGTTATGAGGGCTACTGCCGCTTTCAGGAACCAAGTAGGTTCTTCTTCGCTAGGTTCATTGTCTGCTCGCATGATTTATAATAACGACATGCTTTTTTCTTTTGCAGTTAATAGAACGACCAGCCAAGCCCTACTTGACGACCCGGATAGGCTCGTATCTTTTGGAGTCCTTCCCGAGGAAAGCCGGGACGCGAGGAAGCTTGTGACAACCGCGAACTTGCGGAAGTACGGTTTTATCAGCAGCAACGCGTCTTTAGAGCCCCTAGAAGGTAAGTTATACTGATTTCCTTCTGGTCGTAGAATAATTTTGTTTACTAAAGTACTTGCATGCAGCAGCTATGCCTCCAAAGGAGTCCGAGTAGCCTCGCCGAGTGCCGTTCGTCTTCCCTCGATCGAGAAGAGAGAGAGCGGCCAAAACTGGTCGTCTCATTTCGGCACAACCGGTGTGAACAGTCGCGCCTCCTTAGCCCCGTCCTGTGCAAGAAGTGACCAGGACAGAACAGGTCGCTCAGGCACCATCTGCTCGCCCAAGGCGGAAGGCTCCGGCCCAGAGGTCAAAGAAGAGGAAACAGATTCAGGCCGAAGAGTCAGAAACCGAATCTGAGGAAGAGCCTTTAAGGTCACGGCAGGAATCAAGGAGGTCGGGTAAGGAACCCGTGAGCGAGGCGATCGCTGCCGACAAG